TATAGGTAGTATTAAATTTTTTGAATTTACATGTATTTCTATACTTTTGCTTTCAATATCCAAAATAGGCACTGATCTCTTATCATAACATGTTGTTTATGTTTTTGTTTGTTGTACAGTAGATACCTATACAAGTAACATAGATTGCAATCTCTGTTTTCATTACACCATGCTTTTATAATTATTTACAAATTTTTGTTTATTAAAATGCATTTGCCTGGTATCGCCCATGTTTCTATTGCCGATTATATTTTTATGTTAATTTACAAACAAGTTAATATATTTTTTAAACTTCAGCTAGTTTATTTCCAATTGTCCTCGTAATGATCATAACGAATTTAATAAATATTCGTTTATTGGGCTTAACAATAATAATTACAGATTGCATTCCCCAGATCTACTTCAACAATAATTGTATATTTATTTACATTTTTAAAATTAATTTTACTACCAGTACTCCGAAGTCTCAGAATTGGTAAAAATCCTGTATTCTAATTCTCTTCTTGTACGTCGATAATATATCAGTGAATTATTTTTTACTGTCAAGTTTTACCTATCTGCTGTTATAATATTACAGTTCAGCAAGGAGAAGTGAAATCATCATCACATAATTATACTATTAAATCCTTGAATAAATTGTTAAAATAAAAATAAATACATGATTTAATGTTTTTATTGTTGCAGGTACGTAGTTTCAATACTTTTATTTATTTTTAATAATATATTTGCCTTTTTATTATTGCAGTACCAAAGTACCATTTTTGTTTAAAGTTTTGTAATACCGGTCGGTACTATTGCCACGTGCGCTGTGCACTTGTGCGAATAGTTTTTAATTTGGGAAATATCGAGCAATAGACTACGAATACGTCGTAATTGATAAGATAATTAATGCAACAGTGTCACTCAATAATTTAGTATAATGGACCATTTTTAACACAGATTTCGTATATTCAATAGTGACTTAACGTACTTATAAATCATTCAGCTATACGATATTATATAGGTAGTAGGTACGCTTATAATAAATTTAAAATGTCAATGTAACCAACAACAGTATACATTATACAAGTATACTTCTGTACATAATATGACATTTTGCTGTTTGAACACACACTGTTATTAATTTACTTCCAACACACTACCATGACTGCCATAAAATGTCCAATTTTTACTCCTTAGAATAGATTACTCTCCGGCCCCCTGAAGATCCTTGTCGTCGATCGGTGGCCGTACGCTCGCACGGTAGGTGTTCACTACAACCATTAAAGCACAAGAAGTTGCCTACCCACGTAAAAGTACGGAATATATTTAAATATCTATATTTTGTTTTTATTATGGTCCATACTTTCTTGGACTAACTCTAGATCGTAGATTAAACTGGGCCCACCATATTAAGTCTACACGACTAAACTTAAAATCTCAATTACGCCTTCTTAAAACATTTATTAACAATAACAAATACACTAATATCAACATAAAACTGCTCATATATAAATCTTTATAATCAAACCAGTCTGGACATATGGCATACTGTTATGGGGTAATGCAAACAAATCAAACGTAAATAAAATACAAACATTTCAAAACATAGCAATCAAGAAACTTTTAAATGCTCCTCCTTACGTCTCAAACCACACTATTCACACTGATCTAAAAATGAAATAGGTACACGAAAAAGCTATAGAGCTCATTACCGACGCTTCCACAATCGTCTTTCCTCTAATAGCAACCCGTTAATACGAAATCTCGCAATCCTTTCTATTCCTGGAAACCCACCCAGACGTTTATAACGAAAATGGTGTCGTGACCTACTTGTTCACACCCCTCCCACCAACTAATCCAAAATCAGAGCTTCAGTTGTTTAACTAATTATATAATTAAAAAAAATTAATATTGAGTGTCATTAGTGGATGTCTTCTCACATCAAGCGTATCATGTGTAATTTACTCTAACCATATAAACTTATTGTGTCCCTAAGGTATAGATTGTTTATCTCAAATAAAAAAAAATTATGGTCCATACAAAATATGAAAGCAAAATATTATCCAGTTACAATCAAGTTTTGTTTACCATTATAATTATTTTTACTTTAGGTATATAATATACTATAGTATTCTATATTTTATAAGTTATTACCTACTATTCGATCGTGGCAACATTTTCGAGACGCCTGTAGCATAGTATTTGCTGAAAGTAAACTTGATTTTTACATTTTTTAATAACACAAAATACTTGTACAGTGGTCAGTGTTTATGCAATTGGTTACTTCAATATTGTAGTTCAAATTTATTACACAAACTGATGAAATTACATGTACACAGCAGCGTGCCTTGGGGGGAGGTTATGGATTATATCCCGCATTGTCCGATAATCCTGGGCACACCACTGCATATTATACATTACACAAGCTGATAATTTACTATTTTATTTTCATGTAGATACATACTATCTACTAGCTGAAAAAATTCTATAGAAGTCACCTATTTTGTACCTATTTGGAGTGGTTTTTTATTGATGTCGATAAATATTTAAATTATCTCAGCAAGCGAGCGAGTGACCTGGCTCGTGGTCTCTATTATATATAGGTATAGGATCATTCAGAGATGATATTTTATTATAATCGTTTTTCTTTTTTTGGATACAGGCGCATCCCCAATGAGGGGGGGGCGGAGGGGCTTTCGCTCCTCTCAATTTCAATCTTTAAATATATAAAGTTACTCTCATTGTCAACAAAATAATAATAATCAAAATTAATTTCTAGGTTCCCCCCTCCTCTTGAAAACTGCCTAGGGACGCCCCTGACTGGACATGTTCGTAATAATCACAGGTTGAAGAGGTAATGGATCTATTGATTTCCAACGTATTGGTAAAGAAAATCACATTTAAGTATCGAGTAGGTAAATTGCAGTAGATATAGTGTTATAGTAAATACTTTACACCTATAGTAATGAACGGAGAGGTAGACACTATAAATTATGACTGAAAAAGTCCTTTGCATCTGGTATAATTAACTTTAACCTACGATGATTTTAAGTTTTGATATTATAGATTCTGCAGGGAACCGTAGCTATATTATAGCTGTACATCGTCGAACGAGATTAAATTTCGTTAGACATCGTTTGCAAAATAGAATAACATTTTGAAAACAATTATTAAAAGAGGAGTAGACGCAAATATAATATATATGTCTTCGGAATGAGCCAATATTTTATAATTAATTAAAACAAATAATAGCGTAGTCGTCAGTTGTTGTACGAAATTCAAAGAATACAAATTAAATAAAGGCGACGATTCGTGTACCTATATATATACAAGTCCTCCATTTAGAAAATATGACTAAAGAAATATTGAAAATACTTAAATGATAAAAAAACCTTCAGAATAATTGTATTTGGAATTTTGATAATGAGTTCAAATTCCATCAGTATTATTTAAAACGGAAATTGCGTTACCGCTGATATTAATGTTGTATATACCTATCTAATGCATATGACACTTATTCAGCGAGCCGTTTGATTATTTTCTGAAACGAGTGACACTTATTAATTTGTCACAATTATTTTTTAATTTAACTTAAATTACGTAGGTTATACTACGTATAGTTTGGCCAATACATATAGTATAAATATAATAAAGTAATGAACATACTGCAGAGTGCAGACATACACATTTTTGAGTATATACTGAGTGATTCACCAAGCATACTTAGGGGCAATGGCAATTTGAAAATATCAGTGTTTAATATTAATCTATATCATCATCAATAGCTTGTTTAAATGACCTAAGTATAATAAATATTAAAATAATAGATTCAATATTACAATTGTCTTATTGTTTTGTAAAATCATTTTTAAGGACTATTAGATATAGAGGTACTTAGTAAAAACATTTTAATAACTGAAAAACTATAGGTTTGAATTTTGAAGTATGTATATCAAAACTTTCAAGAAGATTATCCACCAAATAATTTACAATAAAAAGAGGGTCCTCGTTTGAAAAACGGAAATTTGTATCGCCACTCTCCTTAATAGTAATATAAAATATTTCAAAATTTTGGAGAATGGTCTTTGATTAGGTTTAAATACCCAAAATCAGGATTTGAATAAATTTACTATTAAAAGAAAGATGGGGTAGATCATGCTTGGTGAAATTACCCTGTATATAGCCATATAGGTAAGATCTAACAGGTCGATGAAATGATAAATACTGCTATATAATATGTTGCTACACATGTGTCATGGCTACTAGTATACTACTGTCGCAGGTTCTATATTTTGTATCTGTAAATAGTATATAATATAATTTGTCTGTATCGAATATCGATTTGCGAGTAGCGTCTGAAATTGTTTCCTAAAATACGTTTACAATCCAAGTTCCACCGTGACCAGGGAGATTATTATTATTTTTAGATTGTATATATTATTTAATTTAAACATTTTTTTTTCTTACTCAGTTTTTTTGTTTGTTTCCCTTCGGCATTCCGGAGGGACGTACATAAAATATAGCGAGTCGTTGTGTTCTGGGGCTAAAAATCGAGAAAGGCAAAACAAAAAAGAACGAATAATAAATAAGAAAGCGCAGCGCGTGGAGGAGCCTGCAGGGAAATGATGGCCGAAGCAATTAAAACTCTTAAAAAGAAAATCGACCCCTCGCTTAGGGCTACTCCCGCCAGTTTTTAATCACGCAGCAGCAGTCTTCTTTATTTCGTTCGTTCGTTTGTTACCCTGCGCGCGTCCTACCACCGCTCTCGGGCCGACACCGCCGCCGTAGTCGACCTACGGTTTTCCGAATCTTTTAATTTTTTTTTTTTTGTAATAATAAAGCAAAAAAAAAAGGGGGAAAGGGAGACAGTGGAGGAGTGGGTATAAAGACGGAGTAAAAGAATTATGAGAAAAACTTCTCTCGTTGGTCCAATTTCCAAAACACAACGAGCATAATAATAATAATAATAATAATAATAATAATAACAACAAAAACGAGAGAAAACCGGCGAACGAGAATTGAACGAAAAAGTAAAATATATTTCCAAACAAAAATACATAGTACTTATTTTATATATACTTATTATACATAGCAAATTTCCACGAGAAACAAACTTTTACTCGTTGAACTGTGTTTTAATTAAAACATTTTCTCATTTTAACCGAACTAAACATATCGGAATAAATTGTTTCGATTCAGTTATGTTATTTTTTCGGACAATATTGTATTGTATTAGTAGCAACTCAAAAAAATGAATGCATCTTCATTGTGTGTAATACAAAAACCCAAGCGAATCAATTTCGAATGTTGGCTTCCGATTTTAACCTCTATCTGGTGAATTGCGACGTCTAGAGTCTCTCGAAATATTGTTTTGTCTTGTCCACCATGGTCAACCTGAAACCAAAATAAATTATAAGTCATTTTTGAGAGAGTTAGTAGTGAGTGTGGGCGGCGATTATAAATAATATAACAATGTTATTTCTTATTTAAGACACATCAAATGGTATAAGATAATCAATAACGTAATAAACCTATACCTAATAGTTATCATGTATTACAATAAATTGTTGGGTTATTAGCTTATGGCTTTAATTTGCCTAAATAATGATAAATTTAATATATTGGATGATCAGTTTTGGTTAAAACAGAATATTGTAACTTGTAAGCTACAATGATCGTATTTAGTTCTGTCGAAATTGTGTTGAACAGATTATGTTCCATTCTTTAACATTTAAAACTTCTAGTTTCACTTAGTAAAGTTCATCTCGTTCATTAAAGTACATACCAATTCAGTAGCACTGGGTACACTAATCAGGTGTGTACTTTTACTCATTGGCTTAGTAGATTTTATTTTTTGGTTAAAAGCATGCTGAACACACATGTGTTATCTTTGTCTGACAATTAATTTACAACATAGTAAGTCTAGCAGAACCAATTTTCTAATGTAAGTCTTAATATTAGAGGGAATCCACCTATTATAAAATGTTATGGTAAGCATATTATCTAGGAATCTGGGATGTATATCTAAAATAAATTATCTCACACTTTGGTTTTTAATGATGCTCATATACATTTTAAAATGATTTATAACCATGTAAAATATTACAAATTTAAGGTTCTCATAATTCGGTTTAAAATTTAAATATCCATCAATAAAATCTTAAAAGACCTCTTAGATAATAATCCTACCCAAAGTGACATTTTTTAAACTTATTATATCATAGTGAAGACAACCCGAACTTGTAAATATTATTGCAAGACAAAAAATATAAAAATAAATTGTTATCTATTTGTATGGGTTACCAGGCTGCAACAAAGTATTTATTTCGTTCGTATTTTTCCTAAAGATGTATAGGTATAGTACGTATAAGCGAAATTTGGGGGTTACTTGGGGTGCTTAGTAGTTAGCACCCCCGATTTTGAAATTAGCACTCCCAAATTTGTTCATATTAATTTACATTTTAATAGTCATTATGCATGTATCCACAACCATGAGATAATATAAAAAAATAAAGGGGCTTCAGCACCCCCAGTTTTTTCATTGAAATTGCACCACTGCTATCATTGAATCTATGAAGTTTTAAATGTCAAACAAAACACGTTATGGTCCACATTACCCATTTCAATAATTTTAGGTAGCTCGAAACGAAACGTATAAATATAATAACAATATAAATAAAATGCATAGGTAAACTATATGGTAGGTACTGCTCTTGGAATTATATAGACACAGTTGCATGGGCCACAAATTGGAATAGAGTTTTTCCTGATTATTTTGGTTTCTGAAACGACTGCAGGGTAAAACCATGGTCACACACCATGTACCTACTCAAAATTCAAACTATAAATACTGGAATTATAGACTTGAAATTTGAATATTATATTAGGTACCTATTATTTATTATTACAATATTGATTATTGACTATACAAATCCTACGCACTACTGTGTAGTAATAAGCCGACAACGACAACCTATTAAAAAAAAACACATACCTATAATATACACATATAGGTACACATTTCCTTCACACCGAACTATTAGTGTATTTTAAGATCGTTACTCTTCTAATTTCATAGAACGAAATTAATTAAAAACGGTTCTCAGTGCAAAGAGCCTATACTGTCTTTTTTGTAGACATTTAGATAGTGTGTAATGGACAATCTGTACGATCTAAAGTCGTTCTGGTTACTACGGTAACACAGGCACACAGCAACAACCGTTTAATAAGTAAAACGTATACTGGTTATTTATTTATTTATTCATTTGTTTTTTCGGATCGAATCGAGTCAAGGGGCAAGGGAGTGGCGTGGTGGTAGTTGGTGGTGTTTCTTGGAGATATTCAATAAAAACGCGAACAAATCTAAATGCGCGTTCATGAATAAAAAACTGTTTTTTAGACGATAATTAGTGTACGCGGCGATAAACAATACATAATTTACGCGTGGCAATCACGTCTGGAATCCGAATGGCAGCTATAAGTAACAAAGAAAAAATTGACGTGGTGGGGGTGGCCGGCGAGTAGAAAGAAAGCAAATAACGTTTTTCAAAAACTTCGCGAAACGAGGTTATGGTTTCTTTTTGTAAATAATATATACAGAAATATGGCGAAAATCACTCAAAATACTTTATTGTACACCCCTTAAAAGTTTTTTTTTAATAGTTTCATACTTACCAACCCCCTATAGCTGTCATACAGCCCCCTCACCAGTGCCACCTCGCGTTATACGTTGGAATCGGTCCAATTTAAAAATTCAATTATATGCGAGGAAATATTGTTTCCAAAAAACTGTAACGGTTAATAATTATTAATTAATATTATAAATCGATTAAGACGGTTTTCAGTGGAGAAGAAAACTTATTGAAAACTTTTGTAGAACAAGTCTCTATAGTAATAAAATAATCGAAAATAACTATTTCTCTGTTATAGGTATATAGTCGATTTTCCCTCTGGACTTAATTGATATAGGTAGGTACTGGAAGTGATCGCAACGTATACCCATGTACATTATACATATTGTGATCCAAGAATTACGATCGCGTCACGTGGACATTTTATACAAGTGACGTACGTCGTTATTTTATTTTCGAGTGTTATTTTAATTGTACTTTGACGCCATTACATAATTTCTTTAGCATTACAACGCACAAATGCGGTTTTGCCCAAAGTGTTGGGTTCGAATCCCACATGGTGCGTATTTTTATCGTCGAATTCTACTGACACACTGGTCGTATATTATACGAGACTATATCAGAAATCAGATGACACACAAGAAGTGAGATTCGAACCTATTTTTTACTTTACTTCTCCACGGTTCATCACTGGGCTCTCTGGGCTCCCGATGTTTTATAACTAATTATAATCATAGATAATAAAAACATGCAGGATGGGACATCGCAGATTGAGGCCACTATATTTTTGCGGTTGGGAGGTGATAAAAAATTGACGCCGTTTGTTTACATTTTTGTAAAGTACCATCACAGAATAAATAAATATGATTATTTATAATATGAACCACCTATTTGAGGTACGACGTAAGTCCATTAAAGGTAATTTAGAGAAAACAAGAAAAAACTGTTTTTACTCATACATGGTTATTTCTCTTTCGTACTGATTGTTTACAGTGATAAAATTAAATATTTTTTTTTTGCAAATGTTCACACATGATCCGTCTATCATTTGATAACACATTCCACTCAATATCTCAATTTGTGATATTTTATGACTTACGCCGTTTCTCAAATAGGTGGTTCATATGTACTCGATAAAGGTATACACGTATTTTCCTTCAATTGGAATCATTGATCAGTGATCACCGTTAGGCGCTAATAAAACTTTATATCCTATCCATGTCTTTATTATCTATGTTTATGAATACATATATTATGAAACATCTATGACCTATCTAACAAGGTATAATGTGTTGGCGTAGTACGGTTGAGCAAATAACACGAGTACACATCAGAGTCACATTGTGGATTATCACTGAATTAATATAAATATAAATATTATAAATTAATAATAATATTAATATAATATTTTAATGGTCATCTGCTAAAAACATCTATTTATGATTTTTCATGTACAGTAAGGATTTATAATTACTTAAGAGATATGCTTATTATCTGTATAGTATGACAAATATTATAAAATATTAATTGTAATGTTATTGGAAGCGTCCATAAATTATTTTTTAAAAAAAATGGTTAAATGTTGATTAGAACAAAAGCTATTTAATTTATCAATGACTTTTTGTTACACCTTCTGTATTGTATGATACCTTATAATTTTAAACACATAAATACATACTATTACGTAATTTTACGAGCTGTAGTGTACATATTATTAATTTTTATTACAACAAGTATATTTATTGTAAAGTATCGAAACTCAAGTCCAAGTACGATTTTACAAAAAAAGTCCAAATACAGTACAAATTTACTGACAGTAAATCAGTGCGCGAACACGCTATAATACAGTTCACGCGTCAGGCGTGGATCCAGGGAATTTAATATTAGTTGTCATCAAATTATTTTTGTCTTGACATCTCAGTTTTTCACTGTCACATGTACATTTCATACAACTTTTTTGGTCTTTTATGTTGCGTTTATAGTTATTTATACGTTCATTAAAACAACATGGCAATAAACTGATGCGCCCCGCAAAGCCTTTGGACTAGTGTTCGGAAGTCTGTACCTGTACGTCTCGCGCGCCGGTGAACCACTAATTAAATTACGAAAAACGCGTGAGGGGGGGGGGGACGTAAAAAACCCAAGTCCGATTTATTTGTCATCGCCGCACAATAGGCACGTGCTTACTGCGTAATATAGACGATTCACCGCCTCCACCGACGTAACAATAGGACAGGCTTTATATAATAATAATGATAATAATGTTTACGGTTGGTTTAATGCGTGCACAAAACACGGTCTCGCACTAGATTCTCAAGGTTTTATTATTTCTTACTTATAAGAGTATATTATGTTGTCGAGAAAATAATACTTTTCGTAGGTATAGGTATATACAATATAGCCACCGACACCACCGCGCCCTATTACTATACCACAACCCCTGCTTCGGTAACAGCGGTCGGCAGGCCCGCAAAATAATAGTATAATAATAATATATTGCCGCCTCACTGTTTTATATTCCGTTACCTCTGTGTCGCCGCTTATAATCTCGGCGCGAGCGCTCTTAAACGGCTCCCCTTTTTTTTATTTCGGCCCCGCTTGAGGTATTTACAAAATGTCCTCTCCACCGCGAGAAAACTTCTTCCCCAATAGCTCTTCATTTACTTCTTATCCCTTTTTCCCCTCTCTCCACCGCGAGCCTATAATGCCGCCGCGGAGAAGTCCAATTGCCGCCGTACCGAGATTTCAACGATCTTACAATAT